ACATGGTACGTACAACTCCAGCATTCCATAAGCCTAAAAAAAAAGCACTTCTACATACATTGCTATCATATCATATGAGCTCATGCTCAGCTGAAGCGTTCTCCCCCGTCGTGTATACCGAATATTTATCTTTACTGTAATGCGACCACGCTAACCATATGGAGTGTTAGTAACTGCCAATATTTCCGACACGTAGTCAAGCTATAAAAAAAAACCACCATAAGTACACTCTGTTGAAAAATGAACCGCCATATTTCTTTATTTAATACCCCCCCCCACTCTCCACATATGAAGTTTGCTGCTTCAGTAATTATGTTTGACAAGTGCACAATTACATATAACGCGCGATTACGAAATATCGGCGATCAAGTATCACACTACAAAATACGACATATCATCACGATAGTACATCCATCTCTGCGCATGCGCTAGTCACACAATTTCGCCAAGACCTCGTAAATCGCCGAATTTAGTCGCAGGTTGCGTTTCCTAGGAACGAAGTGAAAATACGCGATCCGACACTTCAATGCGCATGCGTAGTTAATTGTTCGTGCGAATGGATCAATTGCTAATCGGTTTGTCTACCTCCAGGGTCAAAATAAATAGCTTTTAAATACAGACGCAGGAACGAAACATCTAATTTCGGAAGAATACTTTTGTGCTTCGATGGCGCGAATTTGTAAGCTGAAGTGATCTTTCTTTCGAAATAGTAAAGTTAAATTATATCTGTTGCTATTAAATATTAGTTTAGAGCTTCATTTTTTTATCAAATAGAGTAATAATATACGCATTATACAGTGACACTGTCATTCTCCATTTGTTTATATATATATTTCGAGATCTGATTGTATTATTTCTGTTTAAAACTGATGTTTTGATTTCGAGATCTGTAGCAGTAAACTTAATCATTCTGCGTGACAGGTTATACATTCATTGGAAAAGGATATGAAATGCAGTTAAGGAGGTATAACTTATGCCCTAATGTTTTCATTTGTAAAATGTTTCATAATAATAATTCATTCATTTTCATACTGTATAATTATAATCTAGGTAATTTAATAATTTCAGTTTTGAAGATTTAGCAGTTTTGATCTTTTTGTTATTGAAAAAATATGAGTTCTATAAATTTTGTGTACTGATTATGTATTCTACTGAAATTTACTTTTAGTTCTTTATCGTCAGGTATTAGTTTCTAAATTACAATTATGACATGATTCAAGTGAATCTGATGCACAATCTTTTAAATTTTATTAAGGAACGTTTTATAATTTTTTTTCCTATTTACACACAAACCATGGTTTTTTTTTTTTTTTTTTTTTTTTTTTTTTTATATATTGTAGACATTGTAGGACACTCCGCATAGACCCCGGTAAAGTTAAATATCGCCAACTTTGGCGATAATAGTTCAACTTGGTAACCCAGCGATTTTAACCTATCGCTGTTCGAGTTTGCCAACCATTCCTCTCGTTCATTTTGTTGAATTATCACGGTGTTGTTCTCATTTGCAGATGGATAAGGAAGTCTCTTCTCTTATTATTATTATTTTTTCTTGAATTTTAACAACGAAATATGACATTTTTCTAAATAATGCCTTTCAAGGTTCGGGATAAAAAAGAAAATAAAAAAAAGAATTGATTGAATCTACCACAGCTGTTCCGTTGTTTTTACTTATTAACGCTCTAAGAACCTGCAATTTTAAAAAAAAATGTTTTTTTTTTTATTTTATTGTATCAAAATTTTAAATAAAAATTTTCAGGCGTCAAATTTAACAAGATCTATTTGTTAATGCTTTTTCTAACAATAACTTTCTCTTGAGGCACTTTGAATAAATATAAATAAATAATAAATCAACGTTGTTTTACCAAGTATTTTTACAATCTCAATGCTTATTAGTAATTTTTTTACTATACCATAAGACAATTTTTTTTTGTGTTTTTGGTCTGCTAACTTGAATTTTAACAATGATGCAACTAAAATCCACCGTTTGTTTTTTTATACACCAAAATATCACGTTTGCCGGCCTGCGGGCTCATCGCCGATGAACCGCGGCTTGGCGGTAAAATGCACGGCGGCCAACGGGTTCTTTCCCGAAGCGGCTAACGGGTTCCTGGAAAAAAAACCCACTTGTATTAGGTTTTAAGTATTTAGTTGAATTTTTCTGGTGATCTTACTGTGTACTGGTAGTTTGGCGACATTTTGGAGGCGATAAAGGTTACTACCTGGGACTTTGGTAATAATGTGAGCAGTACTCAGTTCCGATTACGCATTATTTTGTGTGAGGGAAATGAGAGATCATGGGATATGTCCATGTGATATTAATGGACGAATTACGGTTCTTTTAAATCGGGAAAAAATCTGGAAATTTTGTATTTGGCTTTATTCTGTGTGTGTGAAAAGTTTGTTTTTTTTGGATCCCATGGCCTAACTAAGTGAATTCGAAATGGGTATTTAGTGGTATTGAAAAGAGAATGTGTTTTTTAATTTGTGAGAGGAGTAAACATGTGATTTATTTTAATTCGCTTGAAAAAAGTTAAAATTTTAAGATCCTGAAAGATGAATAAGAAAAGTGTAATCCTCCGCCACGTAATGAAGATTCTGAAGGAGAGGTAAGTTAGTATTTTTAATTATTTTTATGCATTGTTTGGAAATGTAAGGTGGAAAGGATTTGGTATTATTGGGAAAATTGTTATTAGCAATGATTTAGTTTAAAGTATTAGGATTGTAAGGTAATTTTTATTAATTGAATGTATGTGCTCATGTATATTTTTAAGTGGTGTTTTTGAATTTAATTATATTTTAATGAAATGATAGTTATTTTTTTTGTGAATTTTATACTTGTAGGAATTTGGTGTATGTTTAAGTTTGAAATAACTTTCATGGAAATAATTTAAAATATTGATACTAATATTTGTAATGCTTCGGTATGAATTCGTTGGTGACGTGTATAATATATAGATGATTTAGAGGTAAAAGTTTTGGATATTTTATTTTTATTTTATATGTGGAAATGTTCATATTTGAAAGGGTAATACTTTTTTCGCGATCAGGTAATTTCATATATGTTCTTTTTTTTACCGGGTTTAAAGATTGAGAAAAATTGTCATGTATTTTTCGTGAAATTTTTCTAATTTATGAGAAAAAAGCAGTGTACATGGATATAGTGAAGAGTGTGCCGCAATGCCATTTTTTGTGCAATTCTGGGATGTTTTTTTAAGTAAAAATAATCGACGTGTACATGGTTTAGTGATATTTTAATTAAATGATAGTTATTTTGTGAATTTTATGTTTGTAGGAATTTGGTTATACGTTTAAGTTGAAAGTAAACGTGCATGGAAATAATTTAAATATTTGATACTAAGTATTTGTAATGCTTCGTATGAATTCGTTGGTGACGTGCATATGTAATAGATGATTTAGAGGTAAAAGTTTTTGGATATTTTATTTATTTTATATGTGGAAATGTTTCATTTTGTAAAGGGTAATACTTTTTTCGCGATCAGGTCAATTTTCTATATGTTCTTTTTACCGGGTTTAAAGATGAGAAAATTTGTCATGTATTTTCGTGAAATTTTCTAATTTATGAGAAAAAAGCAGTGTACATGGATATAGTGAAGAGTTTGCGCAATGCCATTTTTGTGCAATTCTGGGATTTTTTTTAAGTAAAAATAAGTCGCGTGTACATGGTTTATGTGTATGTGTTATTTTGAAAAACGCGTAAGTATGGTATGGTATTGTGCACTTTTTCCCAATTTTGCAGTGATATTTGTCATGATTAAGCATTTTTTGTTTGATAAAATTTCTAGCATAAGTGTAATTCGGCTAGTAGATTGTTGGAAGAAGTGTTCGTAGAAAAAGAAAAGAAACATGTCTTTACTTTGTGAAGACAAAATGGCGGCGGAAAAAAAATAGAGGGTTGCTGTAGGAGAGTTGTTGCCAAATTTTCGCCAAAAAATCGCCAAGTTACCATAATGTAAAGAACAACCGTTTCTTCTACACTAAATAAACATTGCAGTTGATTTTCTGACATTTAAGAGATGAATTAGACACTTCCGTTTAACATAGAAACAAGTGCGAACAGCTAGATATAGACCCCATTGGGGAGTTTTGGCTTGCGACCAAAATGTCTCCTGCCATGGAAATCCATTAAAATTGAAAACAAATTAAAGCAAGTTTTCACCAAAAAATTTAGAATTAATGTTTAAAAAGCAATTTGAAGGTACATAGTATAAGAGGTGCACTTTTAATTAGTATATTGAAAAATCAAGTTTAGCCTGTAAAAGCAGTTAATTGAAAATAGATGTAGAATCAATTTTTAACAAGAAAAATTTTAAATAAATTTAGAATATAATTTAACAGTGAAACTGAAAATAATAAATAAGGGCATATTTTTAGCAGTCCAAATAAAATACAAATTACCCTGTAAAACGAAATAGAGCTCAGAATACATGTTTAAATAAAAATAGGAAAATAGGAGTTAAGAATGCAGTTTAATAAAAGTAAGTAAAGTTGAAAATACACAAGTATGGAGATATTTTAATCAGCATATTAAAAGCAGTTAAGTATCAACTGAAACAGGAGTTCAGAATACTGTTTAAATTAAAGTTCAAAAATCTGGAATTTAGTAATTTACAAAAGCATGGTAAAACTTTCAAAAAATCCTGTTTTTGTTATCTGTGGTTAGGTAACTTGGTTGTTTTTTGGCGACCCCCCTCTACACAACCTCTTATTTTTTTGGAGCCTTTTGGTTTTTATGAGTAAAGGCAATTTTTAAATTTTTTTTTTTTACTCACATTTTTTTTACAATCTCTAGTCATTATCTATGCTATAACTTTTGGAACAAATGCTATCATAACCAAAATTAGGTAGAATTGGAGAAAGTGGGGCGAACGCTTACCGCTTTTTAAATTACCATACCGGAATCCATACACGGAACCATGTAAAAAAAAATTAAAGAACTCACAAAGAACAACGGCATGCACCACTATTGACTTATCCATGTACACTGCTAAAGTCCCTAGCTAGTAACCTTTTTCGCCTTCCGCAATGTCGCCCTCCTATTACCTATCCAAATTTCCAAAATCCTATACTCTGCCATTAGGTCTTACAATTCGAGAAATTTGTTGAATACATCAATATTTTGCTCCTTCGAAGAAAATTACACTTTCCAGTTTAAAACACATGGGAATGCGACAGGGTTCCTGAAGTGGAGTATTCTATAATTAGTAAATTACCAGAAAAACAACCGTCCAAAAGTGCGCCAAGCCAAAAATCGCCAATGGTGTCCTATACTTAAGCTGTACCAAAGTTACAATTAAAGTAATAGAAAGTACTTGATATATATGTTTTTAATAAAAGTATTCTTAAAATATCAACAGTTTTCCTTAATGATTAAGCTGATTAACTCAAACTGAAAGCAACTATTTTGAATTAACTATGCTTATTTTGGCCAAACAGGTTGGAATAAGATGTTTATGCAGTTATCTATGTGAAGCATAGAGAACTGATTGCAATATAAAAACAAATATGTTCTAAATTTGTCAGAAATGTTAATTTGGATATTTCTTTATTGTAGTGGCCCCTCAAAATTTAATCACTAATTAACTGAGATGTAACATGTAGCAAGATTTTTGACAAGATATCTTAGTTGGTTAGCGATTTGATCTTGGGAGCCATTATAATAAGTAACCAAATTAGGTACGTTCTGATTATTACCAGCAGAGGCGCTATTTGCTGTGATCCTTATATTTTGCCCATGTCACTTTTTAAATAAAAGGATACTGCCACCAAATGTTTTCTCTATGCATTTTTTTTAAAGAAATAATATAGCAAATGCAAATGAAAGGATGTTGCCAGCAAATGCTATCACTATATAACATAGCAAATATAAAAAAAGTGTGTGGCAACACTTAACACTATATCAAGAATTCTTAAGATGAGCTGTTTTTAAATATTTTCTGATTTTGCTGTTGAGTTTTATGTGGCATAAGCATAAAGAAAGTGATGTTTGGTAAATAATCATGTTAAAAAGTAAAGTAATGGGTAAAAAGCCAGAAAAGTTATACAAATCATCTCAGTAATATTACTATCATGAACTGAGAAAAGATTGAAAAATTAATAGCAACATTTAACACAATATCGGGAATTCTAACATATGTTGTATTAAAAACTTTTGTGATTTTGCAGTTGAATTTCATATGGCATAAGTATGGAGAAAGGAATGCAATTAAGTTAAAAAAAGAAATATTTGTGATAGCAGGAGTGAGTCCAATAACAGATTGTTAAACTGGAAGCTCGATGAGAGCGTAAATCTTAGCAAACCCTTTAAGTGTGATATTAAAACCTGGAACCTTTCAATTTTTTCCCCTCTTTTTTATGTTTTTAGTGCTACTTGATTTTCATGGGCCTCATCATCAGAACAGCGGCAAGGTTATCGCAAAGTTTAAATTACTCACATATAATTTGTTCCTGTCATATATGTCCAGTTGCTTTTAATTTAGGATCAAAAGCCTTATCTTTCAAGCTTTATCACCAAAGGATTCAGCAAGTTTCTCTGAAACGCAGAGTTGCCAACTCTCCCGATTTCCGACCGTTCTCCCGCTAAGCTGATTTTCAACATATTTCTCCCAACTTTCTCTTATTTTTAAAATTTCTAACAATTTAGCTTGGCATAATTCTTTGTAACTTGCACCCAAAAAAAAAAGTAGTTTTGGGTGTCTGAAAGCACCTGGTTTTTCTCTAGACTGCATATAAAATTGAAATAGTTTCATCAGTGAGAAATTATGGCACGCTTCTGCTTTGTAAGTGTGAACATGTGTCTGAAAATGTCTTCCATTTCTCCAATGAGAATCAAATGCCATCATGGTCATCTGGTGCATATTAACCAATGAGATCAAAGCAAGATTGAGGTTGTTAGAAAGAATATGTATTATTAAGAAGGAAAGCTTCTCCTCAACAGGAGTGGCTCCGTCCCAGTGTAGAAGGAAACAGCAGGGCCTGCGTGAAATATGTGGCCAAGGTTCAAAGCCGGCATCAAAGTTCGAAGGTTACGTTTATCAAGAATTTATAAAACAAATATCGTTTTAAATTTCTTTACACTTTCAAAGAGATGAAAATATTTTTTCGTGCAAGTAAATTAATTAATGGATTAGTTATTTTGAGCAAAAAAAGTATGACAATCTGAGTGCGAAAAGTCAAAGAAGAGACGTTTTGTCAAAGAACGTTTCTTAACACTTGTTCTTCAATTTCCCGTACATATCGCAGAGGGGAAAATTATTGTCGTCAGGTTCCGTTGCTGAATCCCATGACAAATTTTCCCTTCACTTGCCAGCAGCGTAATAGCAGATTGGTTTACATTACGTCTATAGAACCTTTCCTTCTTTACATATATGTTCCTTGGTTGTTATTTTGTTCATCTTATCGTTAACCTTTTAACTGTCATGCCCGAGATAATCTCGGGCACAGCACTGGTGTTTGAAAATGTCATGCCCGAGTATAACTCGGGGTAATTTTTTTTTTTTTGAGTGCATCGTTGGTATACCCGAATATATATCGGGGACGTTTTATTTCGGCTTCATCTCTTGTCAAACCCAACTTTCTCGGGAAAGTTAATGTGTGCTCATTCAATAGATGGCAGCACTCTACGGAAGATTTCAAAGGTAGAGGTTAGACGTTCTTTGGTTCAATTTGACAATTTGTGCACCCAAATCATCAAAATAACTTAACGGGTAAAGGGTTAAGCACACGTGCTTTCGAGAAATAGTTTAAGAAATTACGTTATTTTGTTTTAATTATGTCTGCAAGAAGGATAAAATACTCACGTACTTTTCAAAAATCGTACACAGATGACTTTCCTTCAATTATTTCAAGGAAAAGTTATACATTTGTGATGTGTACCGTTTGTCATTGAAAATTTTAAATTTCGCACGGTTGATTCTTTACTTAAAAACCTTTTCTAGAGCGTCGCAGAAAAGTGCATCGTGTGTGCACACTGTATCAAAAAATACTTTTTGCTTTTTTTTTTTTAATTCTGATGCATTCATTTTTATGTAAAAATTCTAAAAAATAACTTCTGGGTCCTAAAGTGGCATCAATTCCAGGTATTCTCAAACTCTCATGGTGAAGGGCTGATGTATCAAACACATGTGTACACAAAAGCACAAGGACAACATAAGTTCTTTTTTAAAAAAAAGAAAAGTTAATTTTTTTCTGTAGAAACAAAGGACCAAAAAGTTATTAATGCAGAATGTACTCATTGCATTTAAGAATTAGTAACTGAACTTTCAGATATTACTTAGTAATTATTTAAAGTTAATTCATTATTAAAAAATATATTTTTATCATTTAAAATCTTTTTGTTGTTGAGAGAAATCTCCAGATTTTTTAGTGTCGTATGTTGGTAAGTATGCCCTAATTTTCTGTACTAATTGTAGTGAAGAAAGCGAATTGTTACATATTATTGTTATTTAACTCAAACCACTGCAAGAATTTTGAATACATTTCACAGCTAGGTAAAGATTCTTAAACTAAGTGAAACTGTAGATCATTTTTCTAAAAATTTGTTTGGTTTTAATCTGAACATCTTTCAAAAGAGAATATTTAAACTTGTTATGAAGCAGTTGTTGAGACTGTATAGTGCATGAAATGGGCTAATGAATGCTACATATTTGTATAATCTGAAGTGCTGTATATATATATATAATCTGCAGATCTTTGATTGAACTGTTATTTGCAGGTTTTGTAAAGAGTTAATTTTACTATGGAAGGCAATGTCCAAATATCTGAGGCAAGTATAAAAATTTATTGTCTAGGACATGTGATGCCTGTTTTGATGATCATTAGGGCAATAATTTTATAATAGGAAATAAGTACAAAATTTGCTGTGTGACTGTATATTTTACATCCTACTAGTGATACTAACGAGGGCTTGCATTAAAAAAAGAACATAAAAAGCTTAAAATCTTTAAATTTTAGATTACAGTCTGAGTGTTTATTATTAAATAATAATGAATCTGTATGTATATTTATTAATTTGTTCCTCCCATTTTCAAAAGATAGTGTCATCTAGGGCCACCAAATTTGGAATGCATGTAGTCCTGCATATGAACATGTGGATCTTCAAAGCCTCAATTTTGATTTTTGTTAAATGTATTTTCTTGTGCTAGAAAGATAATCATTAGGGACTCTGACCACCTTACCGATAGAAGCCATGCGTGCTGTAAATCTATAGTGTCTTAGCAGGCATGGGAGCACTTTATTTATGTCAAGCCAAAAGTCCTTTCATGTGGTTTGATGGTAAAGGGAAAGGGCTGGGAAATCCTCGGACATATCTCTTGAGGTGCTTTTTCTCAAAATGGGGTGGAACTGAGCAAAAGACATGCTGTCACCTGTATGAGGCTTATGCCAAATGTCTGGCAATAACGTGATAGTGTTCATGGATTTGTTCGATATGTCAGGCAAATGATACAACAGTGACAACAAACTGAATTAAGTTTTGATTAATAAACTTAGCAATTTAAAAGCAGTCTGTTGCCACTCGACAGAATGTCAGCATTTATGTCTCAAATTTTATTTAAAACTCAGCGATTTAAAAGAAACTCAGCGATTAAAAGATTTAAAAGAAATATGTTATAAGAAATATGATTTGTAATTTACTCAAATAAAATTTTTTTTATGTAATAGTGCACCAGTGAATATGTTTCAGATTCATTTTACTTCTACTAAAATAAAGCGACAATAATTATAAACAGACAAGTATAAAGGAAATCGGAAGAAAATATTTGGGTTCTCTACCTGAAGAAAAAATGCTCAGTTGCCCAGTACAAGAGTTACAAATTTTTATTTTCTTGGGACTTAACATGATGAACACAAAACAATATAAGATGTATTTATTCGTATTTATATGTAATCATGTTAATCACATATTCATTAATTTACTTCTAAAGTTTCTTTATGTTCAAAACCTGTCTCTATTTTTAAAACGATATAAATTTGGCTTGTGGCTCTCGAACGTTCATAAAATCAATCATGCAGCTCCCATTGTCTTGAAGTTCGGCCAATCCTGCCATGTAGTATATGGTATTAAACAATTTTACTATCATTTCAACAGAATTAAAAGCAGAAGTATGTATAGAGGCTTGCAATCTGAATACTCATACTAGATTTCATCATAAGTAAATTTTATGCTGCTTACTTATTAAAGCCTGTCAGCCATTGACAGAAATTTCGGCAGTAATCACCAGCAGTTACTGACTGCAGAATTCTAAAAGTCATGGTCATACATCATTGGTGCTTAATTGCATTTCTTGGCTGGGTCGATGGGATAATATGTAAGTACCAATTTTATTTGGATAGAGATAATAGCTTACCGGGAAAGCACATGTTAAATTTTAAGCTGTTTCTGACATTTTTATATCTTGGAAAACTGTAATCTCGAAAATTAAACTTGGGTAATTAAACTGAAGTAAGTAATTGTAGATTTTTTTAGTTATACAACAGAATTTTGCTTTGGGAAAATTTATATTTCTGTTAATTGAATTTTTGCTGTGTGTGGATATAATTCAAAATCATTCAAATTAATCTTTAAGTGGACTCATATTAAAAGTAATTAAGGTAATTAAGTAATTATTGTATTTACAGTTAACACAAGAAGCATTTGAATATTTATGTACAGTCAAAAGTCGTTAATTCGGGCACCCATAATCCAAACCTCAAAGCTACAAACTTTCTGCGCATGTGTTGCATTGACGCATGCGCGTTGACGCATGCGCTGCGGCGCGCAATTCGGAAGTTGATCTGTCAGCACTATCCTTATCTTCTGGGCAGCTGTTCTTATTTTATTTGGCTTATAATTCCTTACTAAATGTAGTATTTCATCTCGATGTACTCCGTCTTTGATATGATTTAAATCAAATTCCTCGTCATTATAATTCGCTTCTGATAGTGAAGAGGTTATTGAAAACGAAAATATTTCGATTGACAAATTAGTCAGTATTCATTGACAAATTAGTCGGTATTCTCGACACAGCAATTATAGGACTTGAACAGCGGAACTTTGTAACTGAAGAAGAAATTATGTCTGTTTATAGAATTAAAGAGAAAGTATTATCACATAAAACAAAACAACTTAAACAACTTAAGGCTTCATTCAATTGAAACAGCGATGATCGCTCAAACAGCGATCGTTGTATCCAGCATTAGCGATCACTTTTGAAAACGAGTGATTTTTCGTATTCATTTGAAACACTTCCCTACCATTCGAACTCATAGGGGTTGCCAGAGGTTACTTGATGCGCGATGCTGTTTGTCATGTGGTCGGAAGTTGCGTTTGTTTCGAAATAACCAATGAAAGAGCTACCAGATGTGCAGGTTGATTCCTCGTAACCATTCTTTAGGGTTGCAGTTCACGTTTGGTGTGCCATCTTTGGCTTTTCAGCGCTATTGTTTCAAAGTTTTATATATGAAAATTCTTCAAAGGTATTTTATTTTAATTCTTTTATGAAAACAGCTAACCTAAATGACACATTCCATTCACATAAATCATATACATGCGAAAAATATAGGTCAAGTAAGTTTTGCATACTGAAAAAAAGTGATTCAAAAGACCTTTTAAAGCAAAAGAAAAGAAAAATGTACCTAGTTCTATTAACAACTCGAAAAATACAATGTAATATATTCTAAAAGGAAAATTATATAATACACAATGATGTAGATTACATATATATTTAATAAATACATAAAACTCTATAATGACTCTAATGTTCATAACTATATAATAAACGCCAACACATATCACATCATGGTACATAACACTGCTATGAAAGGAAGAATTTTTAATTAGAAACATACCTTTTATATTTATTTGATAACATAGACGAATAAAATATAAAGATGACAAGAAGTTATGAAAACACGTTATGCAACTTAAGAAACAGTAAGAAGCCTTTTAAGTTATTGCAATATCATAAGGCACTGATTAGGAAGTAAATATAATTTTTTCATTCTTTTACATCAGTAATACTTTTTTCATTAAAACTTTAGCAGTGAAAGCCAAAACAGATTTATCATTGGGCGCCTCTGATGCAAGGTCACACAAAAATAAACTTGATTTAGCAAATTTCTAAAACATTAAAATCAAAAATAGTAAATTACAGTAACATATATTTTTTTAAAATTATTTTAATTACACATAAAAAATTTTCTGAATTAAATTAAGAATCACTGACTAAGCTTGTACAGCATTTTTAAAACATATTTTATGTTGATACATTGGAAATAAATTGACAGTAATCGCAGTTAAATGAAAGAGCTGGAAATACAGTCTACATGATGTATAAATACAGTCAAAATTATTCGTTAAATACCTAAATTGATGCTTACCTTCTTCAAAATAAATATAAATACGATATATTAATGTTACTTTAAGGGAAACATTATATAATGCATAATTTCAATCATATTATCCAATGTTTACATTTTTTTTTTTTTTTTTTTTTTACATTGGAGGCTGACTGACAGATTTGGCGACAATATAATAAGGTCAAAAAATAACATACGATTTTAAACCATGAATCCCGCATTAAAATTTAAATAAAAAGTGCACTTCATAGTTATAATCACGCACAAAATTGAAATCAAATGTATAATATAATTATTTAAAACTTTGTCCTTTCGCGATAATAACAATAAAAACAAATCACATCTACTTATCGCCGTCGGTATCTGTGTATTGACTATACACATTCTGATGTTCATTTTGTACATATAAATCAGTTTGTCATTAATTAGCAATACTTAAATAATAATACACATTTCTCTAAAACATGAACACTTATTTTTTTTTAACAATTATGAAAACATACGAAGTGAACTTACTTCAAAAGCGCACGGTCTTGCGCTCGGAATCTATTCCAATGGACAAGAATTAATTACCCATTTTCTTCGTATTTCTTCATTTCTTTCTCGGGAAATAGAACATACTAAAGTTATTTCTGGAACGATATGAATAATTTGATGCAGTGCATCCACGCATATTTCTCTGAATTAGGTAGCAATCCATCAACACAAATGTAAACAACACAACGCTAAATCAATGTCCACTAGCAACAAGTGCCACTTAATTTGGATACAACACAGATGATGTGTTGGCTGCCCTTGCTAGGATCCTTATACACCCTATACTTTGATATAAGTTGATGCTCACTCAGCAGATCTAAAGCATTTTCTTTAGCACACTTGATTTCTGTCCTCGTGAAAGCACAAACAACACAGCCGCCATATTGATTCGATCGTTTTTCGCCGAGGAATGATGGGTTCCAAGTGATCGCTATGAGAACGAGCGATCGCGAGCTCAGAGTGATCGTTGTGTTTCAATTGAATACCAAAACGGCAAAATCAATCGCAACTGATGACGTATGACGACTAACGATCACTAAATGTTTCAATTGAATGAGGCCTTTACATTGAAAGAAATGTTTAATAAAAAAATAAATATTAAGCTTTTTTTTTTTTTTTTTGTAAATTTTGATACCCTTTAGATCATAATTGTTCTTTATTTCATAAATTATGGTTTCATATTTTTAATTTTATAATTTCTGCATGCCATCTTACCAGATTTAAACTGATGATCTATAATCCGGAATCGCCGAAGTCCTGACAAGTCCGGATTAACGACTTTTGACTGTAATTATAAAAATATGGAAAAACTGGAATAAAAGTTCAAATGAAATATCTTTCTTAATAAGTAAAATTAATAACATCTAATGATTGCCTGCTTGACTTCTAGTATGCATATTAAGCAGCTTGCAAGAATTGCTACGAGTAGTTCAAGTAAAAGCCGAGTGGCCCCAAATGTTTTTTAATCAATACAGTACAAAGTCCGTAATCCGGACTTGTCGGGACTTCGCCGATTCCGGATTAGGTATTTTTCCGGATCATCAGTTTAAATCTGGTAAAATGGCATGCAGAAATTATACAATTAAAAATATGAAACCGTAATTTATGAAATAAATAGCAATTATGATCTAAAGAGTATCAAATTTTACAAAAAAAAAAAAAGCTTAATATTTATTTGATTACTTTATTAAACATTTTCAGTGTAAGTTGTTTCAGTTGCTTCATTTTTTGTGATAATACTTTCTCTTTAATTCTATAAACAGACATAAATTCTGTTCCACTGTTCAGGCCCTGTAATTTCTGTATCGAGAATACCGATTAACTTGTCAATCAAATTTTTTTCGTTTTCAATAACCTCTCTGTCACTTTCTTCACTATCGGAAGCGGTATTTTCTGGATCTAGAACCATACTGCAGATTTCGACGTCCATTAATTGATTGATGATTGGGGCATTGTCGTCGTAATGAAAACCTTCTGTTATATCATCTTCATTTATTACTGCTTCTCCATATTTCTTTACAAAATCCAATGACTAGAAAATTTCACCTTTAGTTTGTGATGTCTGAAAACCCTCAAATTCGCGGCTATCATCTTCATCGTCCTCACCATGAAATATGATAGCTGGCCATAAATTATGCCAAGCATTTTTTAATGCGTCTGGAGACACATCCTCCCAATGCGCATGTGCACGCTAAAGCATACAAAAAAATGTTTGTGGCTTTGAGGTCCGGATTATAGATCATTCCGGATAATGGGCGTCTGAATTACGGACTTTGTACTATAGTAGTTTTGCAGATGTTTTGGTCCATTTTTTAATAGATCCATAAATGGTTATGACTGTAATTTTAAAGATGCAATAGTTAAGTTCATTGTTAAGTTTTGCTTTAATTAAAGTTTACTTACATTTTTTAAAACTGACATGTATCTGATTTGAGTATTTATGTGAATATTTTGTACACAGCTGTTACAACAATTAGAAGAATTGAAAAAGAAAAAAGCTCAGAATGTGAAGAAATTAAAAGTAAGTGTAATAAAACTAAGGATTTCCCCCATAGGTAAGGCATTTTTACTTTGAAATGGTCAAAAAATTATAACATTTCTCAAAATTCCTTCATTATTTCCCAAAATGGTTTTTGCTTTATTCATATATGTTAGAGTTAATAAAAAAATTAGATTTCCATGTATTGGATTGTCACTTGATACATATTTATCATATATATTTTATCTTAAATTTGAAAACATCACCAACATATGAAAAGTTGACATACTTTAGTAATTTAAAATGCAAATCTTAATTGTTAAAGAAGGATTATGTGATACATCTTCCTGTATATATTTTCCCATTGTTCTTCCCTAGTGCACATTACTTTGTTTCTGCTTAAAACAAATCAGAGAATTACAGAAATTCAACATCACTCACACTTTGGCAACATCAGCTATCAACCATACGGTCTCTTCATTGTTCAATTTAGAGATTTTGTGACAAATTCTGTATTCTTGCAGAAATTTTACCAAAGTTTCTTCCATTGCTGGCAAATTCCACAAGTGCGTAATATGAAATTAAATTTAAGGTAAAAAATACCACATATTGTTTGTAAAAACCATTGGAACTTACTTAGAAACGCATATGAAAATAGCGAGGTTATTTAACTGAAGGATTGTTATGAGCACCGGCTGCCGGAATAACGGTTATGTGAATGGTTGCCAGAGTTTTGCACATTAATTTATTCATGAAAATTCTGCAACTACTACTAAGGTGGCTGTGAATCATGCAAATACCAAAATCCATTGTTGTTGGTATACAGGGTTCGTACGGTCTTTAAAAGTCCTTAGGTTTTTTGGAATCGATTTTTGATCCTTAAAAGCCCTTAATTCTGACCAAATTCAGCAGGAGGTCCTTAATTTTAATCATCTGAAATTTCTGCCTTTTTTATGATTGCCATTTTGAATGTGAATTAGCATTTTGGACAAATATTTTAAATTATAGTTATCTTTTGAATGGGCAAATAGGTTGATGGATTATAATTTGTTCCTATTGCTAATATAAACGGTGGGACATTAAAGTTTCTGAGCAAGAAGTGAAACATAAGCATTTTGAAATTATTTTATTTTTTCGAATGAGGAGCTCTTAAACAACTTTTCGCTTTTGGAAATGTGAATTCTTTATTAAACAGTTCCAAATTTTGCGACTTATCAACATTTTGCCGATTTTAAGATCAGTTTCTATAAATAATTTTTAATTCGGAAATCTGGAAATTTTTCGATGATATTTTTTTAAAATGTTATAACATGGATTAGCCTTATTAAAATAATGCTAATATATTGAAATTGTGTTGATATTTGAATTTTTTATATGAATGCTACGTTACAACGTGTTACTCAGTCACCTTAGATTAAAATTAAACTGTTAGTCCACATTTTTAGTGAATTTGACTGTTCCCATTTAATTGGATCACCATAAGCTGTAGTTGATTTTCTAAGGTTTCTTTAAATAAGAAGTTTATTTAAACCTTTATCTGACTTTGTACTTAATTTCAAACATATCGATAATTTGCTTCATGTCTACCAGCGGTTTTGGACTATTTAACTTTTATCAGATCAAGTAAAACCTCATAGGTACGTAGTCAAGAGATTGACAAGTTACAAGATAAAAGACTCAGAAACTAGTGGGAATATTGGTTTGCATATTGAAACAAAATTTTAATTGTTAGAAAAGATGCTTAAAGAGAAGGAAATTGACATAAATTAGCCAGAATGTATGGAAAGACTTCAAATCAAAAAGATGCATAAATATTTAATTGAGTATTGTTGCTACAAAACGTAAATGTTTTGTAGCTTTTAATGTGTAGTTATCTTAAAATCGTTTAAGAATCAATATTATAAATTACGTGTATTTTAAACTGTGACATGTTAATAGATTGTGATTTTTATAGTGCTTTTTTTAAAAATACATTTAATAGTGGTCATGTAAATCTATAATGACAAATGGTATCTAACTAGCTAATTTAAGTATTTATAACTAAAGGCCCGTCCACACGAGGACGCTCCCGACGTAGATAACGCAAGCACATTTACGTTACCTGCGTAACAGCGTCCAAACGAGTACACTTGCAACAAGTGCGTTTAACCAATAGAATTATTTGGCGCAAAATAATCACGTGACGCTGTCAGATAGCATTGTTTCCCGGGTAAACAGAGCAGCTGTCTTTCTGTAGGTTTGCTACATGATGTCAGATTCAGATGATTTTTGGATAGCTGAAACATTACTATTAAGTACAGTCATTAAGCAGCGACAAAAATGCAAAAAACGGCGTGAATGGGTTCGAAAGATTTATTTAGAGCGACCTGTTCAAGAAGATTTTTTTTCTTTACTGCCTCGTATGCGAACCGATTATCCTGAATTATTTTTTAATTACTTCAGGATGAGTACCGACCAGTTTGGCAGACTTGCAGCTTTAGTAAACCCCTTGCTTATTAAAAATCAGACAAATATGAGAGCTCCACTGAGTCCAGAAGAAAGGCTGAGCATTTGTTTGAAGTAAGTTTGCATTTCCTATAAATATACTGAAAAATATTATAAAAATATATCCTATAAATGTATGATATATAATAAAAAATATGTTAAAGTAAAAAATTTATTTAATTTGGGTTCTCTGCCTGGAAAAAAAAAAAAAATTCACTAAAAAATTGAGGAGTACTGAAGCCAGGCTCCAGCTGATTTTAAGCCGTGCTAAATTATGAATCAGATTAAAGGAAGAAATTTAAAAACCCTTTAAGCAAGAAACTGCAGTACATTAATTATTTATTAGTTTTATTCTTGTTTATCATCAACTAATAATGGACTTGTAATTTAAATAAATTATTAACAATAAGGAAAATAAAAGAAAAATAGATTTCATAATTAAAAGTTTTTCTCTAAAAATTTAACTTCTAGCAGTTGTTCTGACAAACACTCTAATGCATGATACCCTTTACTTTTTGTTTTTTTATTTAGAATATCAAACATCGCTATTTATTATTGATTGCAAGATTTTTGTTGTTGTTAAAAAAGCATAAATTCTATCATTCATTTGATTTCAATTATTCTGCAATATTTATATGAATGTCAAATGAGATAATCATTTTTTTTTTTTTTTTTTTTCTTGCTTACTACCCTTTAAACCAAACACTCTCAATCATTCAGGCCTGTCACTGACTATGTGACTAAAACCTTTAAATGCTGATCTTAGTTCCAGAGGTGTGGAACTTATTAGGTGCATGTTTTTTCCCCCTCCCCATGGGTGTTTGCATAATTATTAGAACTACAAACGAACTCCTTTTATAAAGTTCTTCATGAAAGTTTTCCCCCTCCCATAATAGGCAGATATACCATTAAGTGTTTATTGATGATGAATGAGGTAAATAAAATGTAAATAACTTAATAATTCAACTTAAATTTTTATGTATGTGATTCTAAATTTTCAAATGGTGTATTTAGTACTATTTTATTATTGAAAGGTACATAGTCCATTGGTAATTTATGCAAATGAATTAATATGAATGCCTTTTCAGAAACACTATACAAGAATAAATATTTCAATGTTTGTAAAACACGTCTTTTTAAAAATAGGCAATATAACAATTTCTATGATGCTCTGTAATTTTTTTAGAAAAAGAGTATTATCTTGTGTTACATTACAGCTTTTCTTGAGTACATATACAGGGTGGTTCAAAACTATATGTCAAAAATGTAAAGGCAGGCAGAGGGGACCTGAATAAGCAGATTTCATATAGGAATGCATGTGTGGTAATGTTGCATTAAAGACTAGCACGTAAAGCAGTATGAATCACAGGAAACTGAAAAGACAAGTAAAGACAAAAGAAAAAAATTATTAACAGTTTACAATAGGCATTTGAAAGAGTGGCTACCAACAGAGACACAAAATTCAGTGGCGACACATGGATCAGCGTACTTTAGAAAAGACGTCAGGTATGTCGAGCACATGTCCAGCAACAACAGACAAGTGGGAAACAAGGATTACCTGCAGATGTGACTGGACTCCTGTACACGAAGCCTTTAATATGACCCCAAAAAGAAGAAATCCAAGCAGGTTAAATCAGGAGAACACAGTGGCCAGTTCCTCCCCATCCTATCCAATCCTGACATTCCCACTGAAGTGAGCTGGGGCTCCATCATGCTGGAATCACATTTGTCTGTGAACAGCTGGTTTAGGTAAGACCTCCCCGTAACATTGCTCCTTGTACATTCTTTGAACAGTTAATTCATTTCTTTATGCATACATGAAATGCATGTTGGCAAGCTCTGCTTTGGTGTAACGATGCATGCTGTTCGAAGATCCATACGGAAAACGAAGAATCCAGCTAGGACAGCGCTTTTATACGCCGTACTCATCAGTCACTAAACAGGTCTTGATTTACTTAAAATAAAAGCAAATGATTCATCAAAATGGAAGATTTTCTTTCTTGATTGAAATATATATTTATTTATCATCAGCAGTTCTAATATTAAGAGTCATTCTTTTTATTTAGAAACATCTACCATATTAAACATAAAGTAAATATTTTAGTGCATAACTCAATAAAGAATGTAAACTCTGATCGAAGTACTTATTTGCCAATTATGCTGAAATGATAAACTGTGAAATAATGCATTGGTAGATGTATTTTTAAAATAACCTTGCTTTCAATTTGATATGTTTATAAATGTGTTGTGATTTATACTTTACATATATTTAATCTTTGTGATATATATTCTTTTTAGGCACCTTGCAACTGGAAACAGCTACAGTTCTTTGGCATATAGTTTTCGTGTTGGGAAATCTACTGTAGGAGTTGTGGTGCCTGAGACATGCAATGCTATATGGACAGCTCTTCAGCTGGTATATCTAAAAGAGCCAGAGAAAAGTGATTATGAGAGAATAGCTGTAGAATATGGCACAGTGTGGGACTTCTCAAATTGTGTTGGAGCTGTCGATGGCAAACATGTTGTCATTCAGGCTCCAGCACATGCTGGCTCTACCTATTTCAATTACAAAGGGTCACACAGCATCGTTTTGATGGCCGCATGTGATGCTTCATATTTATTTACAATGGTGGACATTGGAAATTTTGGCAGAATCAGTGATGGAGGCATTTTCTCAGCTTCAAACCTTGGGAAAAAGCTTTCTCGTGATAAAGAATTTCTGCCTGGGTACAAAAAGTTACCAAAAAGCTCCAAATGTCTGCCACATGTCTTCGTTGGAGATGAAGCATTTGGACTGAAAGAAAATTTCATGCGTCCATATTCAGGTAGAAACTTAAGTAATTCAAAAAGGATTTTCAATTATAGGCTCTCCAGGGCAAGAAGATGTATAGAAAACACATTTGGTATTTTGACTGCTCGCTGGAGGATTTTACGGAATCCAATTATTGCACAGCCTCAGACAGCAACATTAGTTGTTCAGGCATGTTGCTGCCTGCACAATTTCTTGATGAAATACGAGTCTATATCTCATAATTATAAATACTGCCCACCTAATTTTGCCGACAGACCCATGCTTGAGACAGCTAATGGACTCTGGCGAGATGATACATCTCCAAACAATGGTCTAGTGAGAATTCTTAGATTAGGGAACAATAACTATTCATTTTCCTCTGGATCTGTTCGTGATTTATTTTGTAGTTATTTTGAAAATGAAGGAGCACTCTCTTGGCAAAATAAAAGAATAGGTCTGACAGTGCACCCAAATTAAAGATAAATGTATGTAAATAATATTTTTTTTTTTATTTCAAAATAAATATACATGTACAATGTGTAAAAAATAAAACAGGTTGGAATGTAAGCATTGCACAGCTCACTTTGATACTTTTTGTGATTATTATAAATAATTTCAAAGTGTATATTACTTTCACAGTATTTCTATATTATTTATTTCCTTATTATCTGATTTATTTCCTGAAGTATATAAAACTTCTGCATTATGAATATTTTTAAAGACTATATGATGTATATTAACAAAATAAGATTTCTCTCACCAGAAAGCATAAAATTATCAAAAAAATATTAGCTAAGAAATAAATCTGTACCTTACAGTAATGAATTTTCTGTTAGGGATCTGCTACAATACGAAACCTGGCTGTAAATGTTATTCCAAAAGTATGACATAGACAAATTAGGCATGAATGTAGATTCATTACAATAGTTAAGATGTGTATCATTATGCTGACATTATTGACATCTATTTTCTGTATACCTTTTTCAGATCATTCAGCTTTTATCGTTGCTAAAAATTTAGTTTATACTTATTGCCGAGGCATTTTGTTGTCTTGTTCTGTAATGTACGATGCACTTTTATACACTCACGTTTGTGAAAATTGCAGCACCAAGAAGGAATCGTCATAATTGAATGCAATTTAATACACAGTTGAGTGGTAGTGGTACAAATAAATGATTAAATGTTCAAAGCAAACAAACAAGAACAAGAGATCAGAATCAGTATTTTTTTGTGTGGCCACCACGCGCCGCAATAAGTGCTGCTACACGACGTGGCATGGAGTCAAACAAAGTTTGAATGTCTGACTGAGGAAGAGCATTCCATATCGTTTGTACGCGTACCCAAAGTTCGTCTGCAGACGCAACAGGACGAGGATCACGAGCAAGACGCCGACCAATGACATCCCACACATGTTCAATTGGCGACATATCCGGGGAACAAGCAGGCCAAGGAAGAAGCTGTACCTGCTGCGCTGCAAAAAAGGATTTAACAATCCGAGCAGTATGAGGGCAGGCATTGTCCTGTTGAAATACAGTGCCTGGCAAGCTTTGAAGGAAGGGAACAGCTTCGGGCTGTAGAACTTCACGGATATACCGGTTGCTGTTCAGCTTGCCCACAATTCGTAGCAATTGAGATCGTCTATGATATGCTATGGCGCCCCAGACCATAACTCCGGGTGTTCGTCCACTGTGGCGTTCGATAATGCACTCCGGAAGGTGGCGTTCACCGGCATAGCGTCTGACACGAATGCGGCCATCATGGTACCACAAATTAAAGCGGGATTCGTCAGAAAACACGACGTGCTGCCAATCAGCACGCCAGTCTCTATGCTGATTGGCCCATTGTAGCCGCAGGCGGCGATGGTCGTGCGTTAGGGGGATCCTGTATAAAGGAGTCCGTGCGCGCAGTCCACACTGCAGCAGACGTCTACGAATTGATGAAGCACACAATGAAAAACCTGTAGCTATTGACCACAGTGCTGCCAATTGTCTAGAGGAAGCTGTACGGTCCGTCCGCGCCATGCGGACCAGGTGTCTATCATCGCGAGCTGATGTCACATTTCGGGGTCCACTCCCGGATTTCCGAGTTGTCCGACACTCGTCCGTCCACTGCTTCCAAACGCGCATCACTGTGCTGCTGTTACGCTGCACACGAGAGGCTACTGCACGATACGACAATCCAGCTTCACGAAGGCCGATGATTCTCCCTCGTTCAAACTCTGTAAGTTGTTCAAATCTCGCTCTCTTTCGTCGACGAGGCATAAGTACAGATTGAGTTAACGTTTACCACTAGCAGATAACCACCGATAACCATACACGCCTCGCTACAGCCGTCTATTTATTCGGATCCATCAGCCGTTCAGAGGGCACTGCTCAGCATACGCATGCGCTACGGATTTGCAATTCTAATCATTTGCATATCATGCGCTACTTTGCATTTCCTGAAAATTTCAGCTCACTCGCGTAAGTCCTTCATGGTGTTGCAATTTTCACAAACGTGAGTGTATTTTCCTGAAATGTCTATGCTGTCTACACGCTTAAAGTAGATTTTTTGTTTCCATTACTTAATTTAATAGGATGTAAAATTAGTTTTTATTTATAGAAAATACGCATAACACTTAAATAATAATTTTAAAGTCATGTTAAGTATGATGCTCATAGTACATAGTCTTAAATAATAAAACAAGAAATAAAAACATAATTTTTTATTTTACATATTCTGCAATTATTTCCAACATTCTTCTTTCTAATTCATTTTTCTTTTTTTTTCCCGTGGCACAGCACTAAAGTCATCACGGAGACTTAGTAGAAAGTGTTCATCATTTGATATTTGGCTCCTAGATTTTAATCGTGCTGCTGCCAAATCTAAATAAGTCGACAATTTTGAATCAACGTCTTTTTTCTTTTGCTTTTTAAGTGGAGGTTCTAAAATCTCTCCACCATCTACAATTTGGCTGCAGCATGCAGCTTCTTCATTTAATGATTCATCAAAATTTATGGAGTCATTAAATGACTCCATTGCGTCTTCGATAGGGAGTGAAGGCTCATCAATTAAATTGCCCGTGGTCCTGTAAATAGAGGAAACATTAAGAGAAAATATAAATAAAATTAATATACATACATAAACATATACATTGTGTGTGTGTAACAATTTAGATACTGAAGACATACCGATGGCATAGCAGATTTAGCGGGCAATTTAATACAGTACAAAGTCCATAATCCGGACATCCATTACCCGGAATGATCTATAATCCGGACCTCAAAGCCACAAACTTTTTTTGTATGCTTTATGCATGTGTGTTTTATGTTAAACAGACGGTATAAGCTAGGCTAAAATTATCTTTACCGATATTATATATATCAGCAAATATAAATTAGCATTTTTAAAATCTATGTTAAATTTCTTGAACAAGGAAATTTTTTAGCATAAAATCTGCTGTGTGGAGCATCGCAAGATCATAGAGGATGTGTCTCCAGATACGTTAAAAAATGATTGACATAATTTATGGCCAGCTACCATATTTCAATGTGAGGACGATGAAGATGATAGCCGCGAATTTGAAGGTTTTTGGACATCGCAAACTAAAGGTGAAATTTTCCAGTTATTGGATTTTGTAAAGAAATGTGGAGAAGCGGTAATAAATGAAGATGATATAACAGAAGTTTTTCATTGCGACGACAATACCCCAATCATCAATCAATTAACAGACGGTGAAATGTGTAGTATGGTTCTAAATCCAGAAAATACTGCTTTCGATAGATAGTGAAGAAAGTAACAGAGAGGTTATTGAAAACAATAAATTTCGATTGACAAGTTAGTCGGGATTCTCAGCACAGCAATTACAAGAACAGTGGAATTTTATAACTGAACAAAAATTATGTCAGTTTATAGAATTAAAGAGAAAGTATTAGCACAAAAAACGAAGCAACTTAAACAACTTACATTGAAAGAAATGTTTAATAAAGTAAACACGTAAATATTAAGGTTTTTTTTTTTTTTTTTTTTTCTTGTAAATTTTGATACCGTTTAGATCATAATTGGCTCTTTATTTGATAAATTAGAGTTTCATATTTTTAATTGTATAATTTCTGCATGCCATCTTTCCAGATTTAAATTGATCTATAATCTAGAATCGCCGAAGTCTCAACGAGTCCGGATTATGGATGTTGTACCGTATTTCTTTTTACTCTTTGAAAAAAATTATAAGCCAACACAGATATATCAGTGCAAAGAGTGCCTGTGGTTTAGGTAGGGATCTAAAAAATTTTCATGTAAAGTAGCCAAACTTTGTTGAAAGAAGCTACATATTAAAATTAAGAATCATTTAATAGCCATAACTAGATATTTATAGTTTTTAAGAAGGTTGATATTGAACCCACAGAGGTCAATGAGGATCAAAGGGGTCGATAGCAAGTATGCACCAACAATTTATAGGAATAATCAAGTCCCCATTGAATAAAAAATGTATAATTAATTGTTTATTGATATAAAACTACACATGTGGTAAGGAAGAACACCATACAAAATAAATATAAGGGAAAAAATACATAAAAATTAATAGAAGTTTAAAATACCATTTTCAAAATGTATAAATTATTTATACAAAAGTACAGTATAAAAGAATAAATGCAGGAACAAAGAAAACACAACCAAAAGTATAAAAATGCAAACTTTCTCAGAAAACGTATTGTTATATACAAGATGCTTGCAAAATTGGAAATTTAAATTTGTCAGTGGCTCATGGAACCTCTGAATTGCAATTTCAGATCAATATTTGATCTAGATATTATGATGTAAGAAGAGTTGATTATATTGAAGGAGGATGTTCAAGCAGAAGTCTTATTCAAAATGGAAGTTTAGGAATTAAATATTATCAAAGAGAAATATTCCAAAATAAAAGTTATCAAATAATGTTATCGAGTTTCCCTTTTTTTTTTAACGTAGTAGATGTACTCTTTAGTCAAGATGAGAATTTTCAATGTAAAAAAAGAAATAGGCTGAGCATTTTCGAATGAAGAAGTAGTCTTAATAAGAACCAAGCAGTTTTATGCTGAACACTTAAAAAAATGCATCATTACATCAAGTGCAGCATTCGCATTAATTAAAATGGAACTTTTCTGTAATGTTGTTTCTAAAAACTTGTTTACATTTGTAAAATTAAATATAATAATAATACAGAAAATAATATAAAATAAATCTAATAAACAATTTTGGTATATCGGTCTTACAGCAGCCCCCCCCAGACATAAATCACTAATCGACTGAAATATCTTCTGGAAATCTTGTCGTGTGTTCTTATACCTCACTGCATATTACATCTCAGTTGATTACCAATTAAATTTAGGGGGCTGCTATAATAAAGATGTATCAATTTTTTCTTGAAACTTTTGTTTATATTTCAATGTGTTATCGTTAAGTTATGCGGTTTAATCCTAGTATCCGGTACACACGGGATTTGGCGACTTTATGATGAGCAGTAAAAACGGGGCATATACGATGAAGTATTAACGGGTCATTTAAAGAATATATATAGTTATACATAGTATATACATAGAACGTTGTTTGGGTCATTTTTGGTGTTGGCGATAATTTTCAAAATCACGTCAAGGCTGTAGCGTATACTAGGATTTTACCAGTTATGCTTGTGCAGTTATTTGTATTATGATTATGTTTCATGCCACATATAATAGAGAAAGCATTGAAGAAAACCATCCTTTTAAAGGAAGTCAAAGCAAAAAAAAAAAGTTTGGAATCCCTGCACAAGAGCTTTTGCATAAAAAAAAGTAGTTTAGTTTTCTGAAACAATTAACTTAAGCTTTAAATTATTTTACAAACTGGAGCAGAAGATATCCCCTCCCTCTCCTCCAGTATACATTACATATATTCATAGTGCTGTTAAGATTATGAATGCAACATCTGTTAATACATGTCATTTCTGCTGTCATACAATGTCTATATGAAATGTAGCATATGCACAGTAGTAAATTCCATAAATGGAACTTTTGTTTCTTAATTTGATGCTAAGTGTACATCAAGCAGTTTCAAATTGCTTAACGCTATTAAACACAATGTAATTTAAAATTAATTTGATGATTGATAACAAGGCATGTCATAAAAAAATTTCTGTTTCAAATTGTACTTAAAAAATGAAATCGTTTCTTATAGCATGAGCCACATTTAAGGACCTTCCAAAATAGTTTTCGTGGCTTCTTCCACATGTGTCTTTCTCTTATTCAAAACTGCACTTCCAAGGTGTTTCTCTTTTACATATATAGCTCAGTTAAAATAATCTGTAAGCAACCTATTAAATTTTATATAAATTTCCTTAAATAAATACCATTTTGAAAAGCAGTTATAAAATTCTTAACAACTTCAGGAATATTTTGAGCCTTACAAAAAGTATTCTCACTTGTTAATGTAGTTACAAAGTTCCCTTAGCAAATTTATATAATAAACAATATCAGAACTATACATTTAAAGATGTAATTCAATTTTATTATTTCAACTACAGAAGTAGAGAATATATATCGTATAGCTGTGATATTTTTAAATATACAGAATATAGTAATCGTTCTAAAAGTTGTTAGAAATACTTACGGTCGATGACTAACTGTATCTCTTAAAAAAGATAATTCCTCATACAATCCAAATTTTGGAGTTGTAGCTTCAGAGCCACTCCTATTTTTTGATTTTTGAGCCTTGCACTCCCTAACATATCTATCACGCAGACATTTCCATCGATGTCTGATAGTATTAACTGAAAATAAGCATATTATAATCATCAGTAAGCATACGTTTCATATCACAAAAAAATATAATATTAGCAAAAATGCTCCTTGAAATATATGAAACAGACTTACCGTCGTATCCTATACTATTCGCTATTTTTATCCAGATTAGTTCTTTTCTTTCTTTATTGCGATAATCTTTCAGTTTGTGATCCCATAACAGTGGGTATTGTCGAATCTCGTTGATAAGTATTTCATCATTAAACGCAGCCGCCATGTTGAAAGCTGTAAACAAAACTTTGGAGCAGATCATGACACGTGATCCGAATTCAGTCAGCTATTGGCTAAACGCGCGCGTCGCGGGCGAAAAAGCTGAACAGGAGCGTACTCAGTTTTACGTCTTCTGCGTCATGTGAATTTACGCCGGCGTCAAAAAAGTTATGTCTACTATGTCGGGAGCGTCCTCGTGTGGACGGGCCTTAACTGGTCACCCTTAAAAGTTATCTCTGCATATTAAAGTGAGTTATTGCCTTTCATTAGACTTTACCGTGGTCACAAAATACTGTACAAAAATGTAAAAATTAATGCAAAACCTAATTCTTTGCATCTAGTGAGACTTAAAATAATACAAAACAACTTATCACCTCTGGTGCTTTAGTGGCTTATTGGAACCTTAAAGTATATTAACTGGGTTACAACCCTAGGAACTCTACACGAAGTTATGATGCTAACTGTTTCAGACAGGCAGAGCACTACTAACTTTCAAAACTTGCCACCATGCCTACATCAGAGTTTCAGGTTTGTTCTGATCAGGCTTCTCTGTAGGCAAGCAGCAGCGGTAGCAACAGCTAGTCTTCTGTAATGAATCATGCTGATTATGCTTTTACTTCCCATTTTAACCTGTGCCGTTTGACACAAAATCTATATGCTGTGTACTAAACCTCTAAACTGAGTAAGTACATGGCAAAAAAAAAAAAAAAGACACACAAAAGAAAAAGTCAACATAAAGCTAACTTTTAGTAAAACATAAATAGAATGTCACTAATCTTCTTTCAAATATGTCCAACTATTATAAGTGTAAAATATTTAACGTTACTTCATATATTTCATAAAGTTGATTTTATTCTCAAATTTGTTTTATAAATGTTTAATAATAATGTATTCTACTTGTGGATCTATTTTATTCTTAGGATGGTATCATAGAAGCAGGCATAGCTAATATTTTTTATTGAATTTGCTCAATTTCCATTTGTTGATATGTCCTTATTTTATTTTATTTATTTTTTTTTTTTAATGGTTCTTAAAGGTTCTTAAAAATACTTCATTTTCATGTGCAGAAATAAATGTGTCCGAACCCTGGTATAGGTACCAACAATAATGATGTTGGTAGTATAGGCCACTACTCTAGTGGTATGGCAGTGACAGTGAATATGAGGTGCTAAACACACAAATATGTTCTTTTTTGGCAAATAATAAAAAATTTGTTTCAGAGTGTCATGAGTATTGTTTCATTGTAGCTGCTTTCTTGTCTTCAAAGAAAAAGTACTGTAGATAATAGACAGATTTTCTGTGTTTTTTCTCGAAAATTTAAAAAAAAAAAAAAAAAAAAAGGTGAAAACTGTGTGGTTTTACATGAAAAAAAAAAAAAACTGCATTATAATTTGAGGGGGCGGTTGTGTAATGGATGATACAATGAAAAAATTTATTTACATTGGCATAGGTAATTTTTAAACTTATTGATTTATTTGTGTTTTAATTCAGTTCAGTTTAGCAATATCTCTGTATTGAATAATTTAACAAATAGCTTGAGTAACTTTTTACATTTTCTTCCCTAAATATAGAAACTGAGCAAGCATGTATCAAAGAATAAAGTTAAGCAGAATTCCAGTTTACTTCCCAGCAACATTTTACCAGATATTAAAAAATCAGAAGAAACATGCAATACAGTGGACTGTATTGTGGATGAAAATAATGTAAATAATCAAAATGTCTCAGTCAAATGTAGGTGTGGTTCATTGCTTAAAGATTCAGCTCTTTTAAAAGCTGAAAATGTTCAACACTTTATTAAAGGAAATGATAAAAAAAGTGAATTAATGTTAATACCAGATCCAGAATGTGAAGAGCATTGCAAAGTATATCCAGAATTTTTAGTAGAACCACAGCCTGAAGATGTGAAGGTAGATTACAAAATATTAGGAAATGAACTGGATAACTGCGACATTGAAAATATTAGTACTAAAACTAAAACATCCATTTATTCTGACAACTATGTTGAAAGGATACAGTCAAGGAAAAGGTCATCTTCTGCTTCAGAATTCACTAGTGAACCTCCAGAAGATGGTGAATTTGATACAAGGAAAAAAATGAAATTATATGAAACAGATACTGAAAAACTATTTGATCCATGTGCTTTTTCTACAAATCATGAACATACGAAACTCAAAATTTCTTCAGGTTCAAACGACTCTTTACCTGAAGCTGAAAGTTGCCAAATTTTAGAGCATAAAAATGAAAAAATGCTTTCTGGTGATGCTGCTGATGATGATTGTCTGGAAAATGATATGACATGTTTTCTTTCATCGAGTTTGTTGGATTCAAATGAAGATCAAGGTTTAAAGAAAGCTGCCATACCAAATAGTGCAAATTCTGATGATATTTGTCCAATGCAACAAAAAGATTTTGTCAGTAAGGAAGAAAGAGATGTAGAGGTTATCTCAAATAGTCCTGATCACTCACAAATTCTTTTGTCTGTTCCATACAGCATTGATTCATCCCAAAATTATTATAAATCTTTTAACTTTCCAAAGTTTTCTAGTCCCACTACCTCTGTGAAAGATGATACGCATAAATATTTAATGGAAGGAGATCTTGCTGAATCTTCTGATTGTAAAAAACAACCAGAAAACGGTACTTTGCTAAAGGAAACTGTGCAATCCACAAAATCTGTGTCAGGTCATATGTCTTATACCAGACCTAATGATGAAGGTATTAATGTACCAAATGAAAAAACCCATGCTTTGAACCTGAACAAAGAGGCAGATGATTACAGTCTTGTAAGTGTTAAAAATATTCTAGGCAATGGTTTATCATCTGCTTTAGATGCCCATTATGGAAGTCCTGTTAAACAAGATTCAGTAAGGAAGGATAATATAAATGATTTACTACTGAGTAGTTGGAGTAATTCACAGAATGTGCCAACAGAAGACTCTGTTGATCAGTTGTTCCAGACTGAAAAAATTTCATATATTAATGAACCTAATGATTTAAAACCTCAAGTAAATGCACCATCTCTCTGTGATAAATTTTCTAGTGTTGGGCATTGTAAAACTGTTGCAAATGTTTCATCAGATTATAAAGATGTTAATGTTCATGCACTAATGTTAGACAGCCGAAAAAGTACAGAAGATTCTCCACAGTCTGAAATCCAAAGCATTGGCAAAAAGTTAATTTTTGATTTCATTGGTGAAGCTCCTTTGTGTGACCAAGATGGCAAATTTGAAGGTATTGTTGAATGTACTGTCCCATCTGATGATATATCACTTTGTGATGATTCAGAAACAACTAAAAATGTATCATATGAAGTTAAAGAAGTGGTAATGGATTTAGCAAGGAAAGTAAATGAAGAAGATAATGGAAAAAACCCCAAAAGAGATTTGCATATGCAGTTGGATCAGTATGCAGTTCAAACTAAAATGGAAAAATTTGTGCCCGACTCGGAAGTGTTTCTTGTTCCAGAAACAGAATTATTTGGCATTCCACTATCTTCTGAAATGGAACCTTTCTCTCAAGAATCCATTTCGCCTGAAAAAAAGAAATTTGATTCTTCTGAAAAAGAAGAATTTTTAGAGCAGCCAATACCAGAAACGGAGTTTAATTGCATTGCAACGACATCTAAGCAAAAAAGTACATTAGATAATAATTGTAAAGCAAATTTAACCTATTTTGCAAATAATGAGTTGGAAGAGAAAATAGTTTTTTCTCAACCAAATACTGAAGGTTTAGATATATTTTTCTCCCAAACAGAAGAACAAAAAATGAACCTGGAAGCTAGGTTTATGGAAAGTATACCTGACTGTTTAAACTGTAGTGTAGTTTATGACACTGCCGTTCTAGAGAATGGGGATTCACAAGATTTAGGTGGTTATACAGATGTTCCACTTATATCTGAAGAGGAAGAAGAAACAAGAAAGACTGCTCAGAAAGAATCTGAAGCCTGTAGTCAATCAAATCTGAATTTGATTTTCTGTATGCGAGTAAGTAATAGTATTTTATTCTTTCTGTATATTGTATGTCAGGAACATAATTTCTAACTTTTTGTTTATGTTTATCATCTCTAAATTTTTAGCTTTATAAATAATTAATACAGATATTTCATATGTGAAGTGTCCCCCTTATTATTCTGATGATTGCCAAAATGCATGTGGCATCATGTATCACTTGTTATGTATGTAGATGGTCTTGCTGATTTTGAAGAGTAACTAGTTGTAGTTCAGCAAATTCTGGTCCCTACCTTTCCAATTCAGTACCCTACAGTGAAAGGTTTGTTTATCCTGCAGGTCCCTTTCAGCTATATTATGGCAGGAAGTTCATGCGAGTTATGATTAAACTGAAACTTTTTTTATTTTGTGAACTATGTCAGGTCAGAATAAAAAGCTAAAATTTTCTCGTATTCTACAGAATTTCTGTATATTAAAGCATCTGAAGTTTTTGCAAATCATTCACTTTGCACTAGCAGTGTAAACTTTTTAGTTGCACATAGTGTAAATGGTATGTAGTTTCCCAGCAGCACCATAAGATTAAAAGAAATCTAAAAAATATCATAAATGGCAGTGAAACAGATGTTGTAAAAGATGAATGCTATTTAATTAAATTTTTAATTGAACTGTACTTTCCACCATTTGCAGCAGTTGTTAAATACAGTGTTTCTGGATTCTGCCATAGCAAAAAATACCTCATTCAAATTCAAACAAAAAATAATTTCTCTATTCTTTAAAAAAAAAAAAATGTATTTTGAACAAATTTAGGTATGAAAATTTTTGAAGTTGTTTTCATTAAGAAGGAAACATGCAGGGAAATGAAAGCCATGTTATAGAAAAATGTTATCTTATTCAAAATTTAAACTTGCAAAATGCACTAATTATAAATCTGTACATTCATAATTCATAAATGAATTATAAGCAATTTTGTTGATGATAATATTACTTGTATATATAGTATTTATTTATTTATTTATTATGCCCTCATAGATATCAGAATCCCAAAACCTCAAAGATATGTGGTTTATGGATTCTAACTTTTATAAATAACCTGCTGGCAAAGGATTGGGAGCTTAGTATGTATTTCATTTTCAGTAAGCAATTTTTACATACTGTAAATTTTGATAATTTATCATTCAATGGTTCTGCAGGGATAGTACTACAACATTTTGTCAAGAGTCTTGAAAACGATAGTGCTATTACCATTTCAGTATGTTATTTTCTGTAAGACTAAACAATTGTTGAATTTTTTTTTTTACTTATTTGCATTAATCCTTTGTTTAAAATTTTATGCTACATACCATTGGTCTCAAACTGTGGCCCACAAAGACATTTCAATTATGCATTTGTTACAAAGATTTCAAGATTTGAGTTCTTTGAAGTCTGAATTTATATTATTTTCATTTCCTTTAAATGTGAACATGTATGACCTGTCAGAAAATCTTTAAATGGAACTAATTTATTTGCAGAGGGCGTTTACATATTTTTAGAATGATTTTGATGACATATTTAAAAAACCAAATGAAGTAAAAATTTCTGGCAACAGCTTATTATTTGAAATGAGAAATATAGTCTGCTAGTTTTTAATTTATTCTTCTTCCAAAATATTGTATGTATGCATGCTGTAGATTGAAAGATATGTTTTGTGCTATCCTAAGAGAAATATTTTAATTTTCCTAATTTAAAAACGTAGTAATGCATGAAGAGCTTATTATTTGAAAACAGCTTTTTATTTGAAATGAGAAGCTTTCAAACAGCTTATTACTTAAAAATATAGTCTGCTACTTTTAAATTTATTCTCCTTTCAAAATATATGTAAACAAGCTGTGGATTGAAGGATATGTTTTTGTACTTTCCAAAGAGAAATATTCTTATTCCATAATTCAAAAGCATTGTAAAATACCTAGTATTAAAATTTCTACATGTGAAATAAGCAACAATATTAAATGGAAAGTGAAAAGCTGTCAATCATTACTTTTATATGGAAAGAAGACTCCGGACTAATACTTGAAAAGGTGTGTACCAGTTAGCAGGGGATAAGTGGAAATAGATCATGACTGTTGATGAAGCATGGATTTACCTTGTAAGGATCTTAAGTTTTACTAACATTTATTTTATTTTAAATCTTTACTATCACTTCTTATTTTCTACTTCCGGCCAGAATTAAAAGCGTTAACTTATTTATGTAAAATTTGTCTGGCGAACTCCAAGTACTTAAGTTGTGGCTTTTTTCCAAGCGAGAGAGAGGAAGGAGTTAGTCGAAGCAGGTCGCTTACCTTAGAAGTTTTACTCAGTTGCTGGTTGCCTTCCAGGCCAGAGGTTTAATCCTCTTGATAATTTTAAACGTATTGTAGTGTTAACAGTTCTCTGTACTACATACGGCTTCCTGTTAATATAAGGCCAATCTTCCACGTTTATTATTTCAAAGTTAAGTTAGCGTTTAGTTATATTTTTTATATTCTTTTACGTTTAGACCACAAGTAGTGGGTCTTTTGTATTCCGAAGTACGGAAATTATTGTAAAGAGAGAAAAATAAAGGGTTTTGTATACCCTTCTTGTGTATCCTGTCTACTTCCCACAGTTATTGAACATAGCTTTAGTAAGCTCTCTCTTTCCGAGTCAGGTCCTTGCATGTTCCCAAAGAAAGTAAGACGGAACATTGAACCTGATAGTGGCGCCCAACGAAGAAAAATAACCATGGCCGAGTTTCAAGAAGAACCTGTGCTGCCTGCAGAAGCGGCTCAGAATCCAGAAATGCCAGCTGCCGCCTGGAAGGATTTGGTTACATCGTCCAGACCATGCGCGCTTCGATGAAACCAGAAGCAACATTTAATGGAAACTCACACCGGTAACCAGTTTTTTGGAAAAATTGGATGACCACTTCATGCTCTACCCCCCGTGCACGAGTTTCAAAAAGTTACCTTAGCTACCAGCGCTTTGAGGGGCCAAGCGCTTAACTGGTTCAAATGTATAGGCAGAAGTCTCTTGGGTCAAGCAGGAAGTCCCACCTATACTTACGAAGAATTTCAAGACTGCCCTAGTAAAAGCCTTCCCTGTTCGTAAGGGATCGTGCGAAATTAGAAACGGAACTTTTCAGCATATATCAACAAAGAATCGAAAATCTCTCAAGCTTTATTTTAAGAAAAATTCACGTCTTCAAACTCTTGTATGGAAACCGTCCGGATCCTGAGATAATTCAAGTGATTTTGCCGAGGATTACTGCCCCAAGTGCAAGACTTTATTGAATTAAGAAATCCGACTACACTGGAAAAAGTTATTTGAGCTAGCAATCCAGTTTGAAAGTAGAAGAACGGCGGACATTGAAAGAAGACGCCAATATCAACAGCGAAAACCAATTTGGTACGCCAAGACTACAGCAAACTCAAGCACACACGGCTACGGAAGCAAAGCGAATCAGTGGGCAAGGAAACCCGAGCATTCAAAAAACAGCCGGCGAACGTCGACAGTTCAATAGCAATCCAGGAAAAAAAGTCTCAAGGCCAGTGGAAAAAGAAGGAAAGCACGGAAATGAAAATAATTTTAAACTAAAACGGAATTTCTGCTGACGGGAGGGTGCGGAAATCCGAAGGCCACGAAAACCCCTCTTCCTTCAAGTTAAATACAGTAATGGTGAAAAATTTGACTCTTCCGAAGATTGAAGTGTTGGTGAATAATATCCCAGCCACCGCACTCCTGGATACAGGCGCGCAGTGTTCCTGTGTGGCAGAAGATTTTTTAGGAAGTATTTTCGAAAATACCGCATATATAATTCGGATAATACGACAGTGTTAGCGGCGCAAGGAGAAAGATGTAAGTGTATAGGTAAATTACCGCTGTATGTCCGTATCAAGGACGAACAAGTAAAGGTTATGTTTTTTCATAGTAAAGAATCTGCAAGCACATTTATTAGGAATAGATTTTTTCTTTCAGAGGCACAAGCAACACTGGATTTTAATGAAGCGTCCCTTAAGCTGACAATGAAACCAGTTCGTGAAGAAAAGGCTGAACCGCCGATGTTAAATCTTGACCACCTGCCTAATGAAGAGCAACGAAGAATCCGACAAGTGGTAAGTGAATTTGCTTCGTTATTTAGTGATATTTCCAGGATTTACTCAAGTTACTAACCATAGTATTGACACCGGAGATTCAATGCCAGTTCGCCACAAAGCCATACCGGTATGATAAGAATAAAGGAAAAAATTATAGAATGGCATATCGACCGATATGCTACGTAAAAAGATCATAACGCCCATCTCAAGTAGTTATGCTAGCCCGGTTGTGTTATGTAAGAAAAATAATGACGATTATCCAGAAACACATCCGAAAAGGTGGCGTTTTTTGCAATTGACTATCGTAAATTAAACTCCATGACTAAATATCCGGTATATCCGTTACCTATTATTGAAGAAATTTTAAGGAACATAAACATCTACCAAATATATGACGACTTTAGACTTAACGACTGGTTATTTTCAAATAGGGGTTAGGCCTGAGGACGTGCCTAAGACTGCTTTTATAACCAAGTCTGGCACTTATGCATTTCTGCGTATGCCGTTTGGCCTTTCAGGGGCACCGGCAACATTTCAGCGATGTATGGACATTGTGCTAAGGCCTGTTCTTGGAAAGTCCACATTTATCTATTTAGACGATATCATTATTACTAGTGATAATCTCGACCAACATGTACAGGATTTAAGACAGGTGTTTTCTTTATTAAATGAGGCCGGTCTAAAAGTTAATGTCGAAAAGTGCAAATTTGCAGCCCCTGAATTAAAATATTTAGGTTACAAAATATCTCAGAAAGGAATCGAGACAGACGAATCAAAAATAATCGCTGTACAAAAGTACCCGACTCCAAACACGGCGAAGAAGCTCTCTTCTTTTCTAGGACTTTGTTCATATTATAGGTCCTTTATAAAAGATTTTGCAGCTATTGCTGAACCATTGTTAAAATTAAAAAGGAAAAAGGCAAGATTCTCGTGGATGGCCGAAGCCAA